TGTCTGACTGCCCCCCCCCTCTCTCTCTCCCTCTCTCCTTCTCCCTCTCTCTCTCTCTCTCTCTCTCTCTTTCTCTCTCTCTTTCTCTCTCTCTCTCGCCATTGCTTTCTCTTCTGTGGCACCGTTTCACTTCTCCCATCTTCCCATCTTACTCTCTTTATCACTTGCTCCATTCTCGTCTTCATTCTTCATCACCTCCTCCACCCCTTTCTATCTTCTTCCTCTCTCCTCCTCCTCTTCCTCCTCATCCTCCATGACCACCACCCCCTCCCATGCCTCTCTCCCATTCTGATCCATCTCCACACACACAACCACTGTCTGCTCTTCTTCTACTCCCTCATCAATCGCCCCGAGCCCTGCTGCTCACCCCAAAGGCATTTCTCGCATAGCACCGTCTCGTCAAACCGACTGCCAAAGCAGAAGCACACGCTCACACACATTCACTACAATAAGAAGCACAAGAGAACTCACGTTCACTATAATAAGAAGCACAAACGAACTCACGCGAAGGCCCCACAGACATCTACCCCGGGTAGAACAGGTGCTGCGGGGAATTGTGTGTGTGTGTGTGTGTGTGTGTGTGTGTGTGTGTGTGTGTGTGTGTGTGTGTGCGTGTATGTGTGTGTTGTGTGTGATCACAACACGAGCAAACCAATACAATAAGCTGTGTCTTTGGGGGTCGAGCGAGATAGTAATTCTCTGCAGATTGTTTTGTTATTTGTGTGTTAGTGGGAAGTGAGTGTTGTTTGATCATATGACTTCTACCATAGGTTATGGTGGGTGGCATTTAGGGAGGTAGTAAAAGGTTATGTAAACGTTACACACATGATCTTCGTTTAGGAATATTACCAGTGCTAATGTTTAGTAGTCAGGAGTGTTAAAAAAATAGATAGATAGATAGATAGATAGATAGATAGATAGATTTTCTGGGAGTACTCTGGCAGCATTTCCCCGGATCCCAAGCCAGCAATGTCCGAGAAGAGCGGTCCCACTAAACTAGGCGTAAGTCCGCGAAGCTCGTATCTCGATCGATTCTTTCACCCATGTTGATAGGCAATCACGCAAGGTCGTTCACCCTCTTGGACATGTACTTGTAATCAATCAATTGATTAGCCCCAAAAGTAGTCAAGATGCAAAATACCACCACCAACAGCATCATCAACAACAACAACAACAACAACAACAACAACAACAACAACAACAACGACAAAAACAGCAACAACAGCAACAACAACAAGGACAATAACAAAAGAAAGAGTCGTTCGACGAAAAATGTGAAGTGGTTGTTATTTATCATCACTCTTTGAGATGATGCTTTTTTGGTTAATAGCCACATTGGTCATTAACAATCTGCACAACAAGGCAGACAAAGGACCGGTGCAGTACTAGGAAGGTTTGTACAGCTGATGACAGAGCCTTTAACATGTGTGGAAATCGTTGTTTGGGCGAACTCACCACTCAAAAAAGTCAGAGGAAATAACAGAAGGGGGGGGGGACGGTCGCAGACTACTTTGGGGTGGTAGTGGAGGAGGAGGAGGATGAGGAGGAGGAGGAGGAGGAGGAGGAGAAGGAGGAGGGGAGGGGAGGGGAGAAGGGGGAAAGTTTAACCTTTAGTTTTAGTAGAGTTTTACGGCATTTGCAACATAATTAGGTCGCACATGTGCCGAAGATTAGAAGTCTTACCAGAGGGTAACATACAGTTTTTAAAAAAGCGATAAGGACGTTATATGACAACAAAAACAACAACAACAACAACAACAACAACAACAACAACAACAACAACAACAACAACAACAACAACAACACAACCAACAACAACAACAACAACAACAACAACAACAACAACGGCAGCAGCAACAACAGGTACAGTCTGATCGTTCCGATCTACTCACCGTCCGTCGTGGTTTTCCTTGCCGTTCATAATCTCCGCCAGGATGTAGGGCACGAACGCCTTCGCTGTGGATCCTAGGGTGAACATAGTCCGCTTGTCAGCAGCGTGGCCTGTCGCCATGTCAGCTACACCAAGACCTATGGAGGGAGAGGAGGATTTAGTTTTAATAAGCGTTTTACGGCACTTGCAACACAATACGTTGACACAAGTATCGAAAATTAGGGGTGTTACAAGAGAGTAACACACACAAAAAAGAAGTTATTTCATAGGAAAGAAGGAGAAAAACACACCAGAGCACCCGTCGCCCACCCACAGAGGATATTGGCGAGGGGGGGGGGGGGGATGATAATATTGAAAGGTAATTAGATGTATAAGGGTAGGGCAAGGAGGTTACAGTAATTTAAGCTCCTTGGGATAGGGTGAAACATGTAACAAACTAGTTTTCAGTAAAGGGGCTTTCATTTAACGCGACAAACAGTTATGAGTTTTCACAGAATGGAAGAGACATAATATGTCTTACTCCTTCATTGACACAATGTAGATTGTAGATCAATTTAAAGACTTTGATTGTTAGATTATACGCACTCAGACAGACAGACAGACAGACAGACAGACAGACAGACAGACAGATAGACAGACAGACAGACAGACAGACAGACAGACAGACAGACAGACAGACAGACAGACTGCATTTTACTGATGAAAGTAATTGAACGACGATTTGCCCTCTGAAACTACGAAGCCAAAACGAATCGTATTCAATCAAAATTCCCGAGGAATCCCCTCGTTTGTTAAGTCTATTTCATGTACTCAGTAGATCGTACGGACAATTTGCTTGCTAAGCTCACGTCATAAACAGCATTTTCTCCCCAGCTTCCCGCCCAGGCGAGTAACCGGTTCCGGCGAATCGGAATCGAAAGTAGGCGCCAATTGCCAAGTTGATTTGTCGGCCGAGCGTAATGTTGCCAGAGATTCCTCAGCGCGTCCGATCGAGGGATAATGAGATTGACGCAACATGGCCGGGGAAGATTGTTGGGAATGTCGGGTCGATTGCTGGATGGGCCGGATGCTATTACAGGGATTGAGAGGGCCAGTTGTCTGTTCGGGTAATGGTGGGCTCCGTGGTCGGCAATTAAAATCTGATGTTGAACTTGTTGTTTTATAAGTCTGGCATGATATTATCATTATGGGTTCTTTGGCTGACTATCCGGGTAAACGTGCACTATTTTCCTAACCAAACGTACAAATTGATTTCCATGTATGGTAGTGCTTGTCAGCCCTATAATTATCAGTGCGCACTTTTGCCACCTTTAAAAGACGCTAAAATGTTGGCACTGCCAACATAATATTATATTATGTAGAGACAAACCTGCTCTAACGGCCACCTGTATAAGACAATCAGCTGTACAAACGACCACTTCCCATTTCCTCACATGCTTATTTGTATTTTTAATGTCAGTGAGTAAGGCCACCACCCTGTCTAAGACGGCTATCGTTCTCCTGGAATAAGGGTGGCTGTCGCTGACAGTTCCAACTGTATTTTCAAGTAGGGCGTTAAATAATATCTGGCATTGCCCGGGTGATCTCCATCGCCCACCAAAATTACCAAATCACGCACTACAATGGGCTGTATCTCCCAGGTTGGCAAGCACTAATCCGTGGAATATGCATTAAAATTTTAAAAAAAGAACTGATACACCATAAATCTTCTTGCTATTCCATTATCTCAAATTTCTCCGTAAAAAATATGCTTCTCTTTCCTTTCCAAGGGAGCATTTTTATATGCATTTTGTTATTTTCTTGAAATGATATTTTCCCCTGAAATAATCAAGGGAAATAAGACATTGAACTGTCGACGTTCTTTTCTTTCTCTCTTCCTACAAAACATATTGGTCCAGAATAGAAAGGATAAAACCGTGACTTCATCCAACCGCCACTGTAGGTGAAGAAAACGCGGAGGTTATCGAAGAGCTAACACAGCAAATGATCACTGGCCTTTGCAAGCAATTTCAAAGCTCTATAAAGTCAAAGTTATTCTAAACAGGAGAAAAATGTAATCTTATCGAAAGTTCGCCCTTGTCAATTGAAAACTGAGATTCAAACTAAACTTAGTTTGCCCCCAAATTTCCGATCTGTGGTAAGCGTACCATTCAATTCTTTAAAATAATTAGTCTACACAATAATGGAAAATTGAAGTTTAGTTCTTGCAAATGAAAAAAAAGGAGAGCAAATTTTGACTATAATCAATTTCTCACACAGCATTTCATATGCAAAACAATCGTTCTTGTTTGACACGACATGACATATCTTTGTTGGCAGCTGCTCACTTGCAAAACGTGTGTGTCGTTAATACCTACATTTGTAAACCCGGCCCGCTCGTGGATAGGGGAAGGGAAGGTAATGACCGGAAACGGGTTTTGGCCAGTGTTGCAGTTTGTGGTCAGTTTATCTCAGTGGTTATCCAGTCCAGTAGGCGATCTGACACCACTCTCTGCCCCCGCAGCCAAATGTCACAACAGGGGGCCAGGGAGAGATAAGAGATTGACACCCCTCACATGGACTGGTAGAGGGCAATTTTTACAGCATTTCACACCATACAATGTTGTGATCACTCTTACACATTTTGTGTTGATTTGTCCTGTAACTTCATTTGCTCTTTTATTTGTTATTTGTACTTAAATTTTTCATTTGTTACAACTTTTTAATTCACCATTCTGTCCTTTGATGCTGCTGCACCGTCAGATCTATGACATTTTGCACCATGATGTCATATGCTATTCTTATATTCCGTTACATTGTTTAACTAATTCATTTATTTATTATAGAACTACCCTTTTTCCTTTTTATGTATTCCCCACTCACCCCCTGAATTAAAAAAACACAACAAAAACTCCTTTATGCATCTCATGTATGTTAAATCTGTTCATAAGAGAGTCATCAGTAAATGGGTTGACCTTTCACTACGTCTAAAAGAAAACAGTCTTGGACCAATGAATCCATTGACTTATTTAGGCAAAAGCCAATACTCAAACATGAGGGACGCTGTGGAAACTAAAATGGCGTGCTCAAACCGAGATTTGTTGCAGGGCCCCTAATCTGTATAAAAATTACTTTAAGAACCGCTCGTCGACAACCGAATTTACCGTAAAACGTTAATTGCGTCGTATTCTTCTTATCTTTTTTATATTCTTTGATATTTTTTCTGGTATCGGTTACTTTACTGATCCCCCACCCCCCCCCCCCCCCCCCCCCCGAAATCCTGAAACTTACTCGATTTTGCAATACGCTCAAGAATTCATAAGCCGTAAAAAATGATTTGTGGCGATGTTTGTGGCTTCTCGTTTCCTATTAATGCTGCTATAAAAATTTTTTTAAAATAAATAAATATATATAAATATGAAAAATAGGGCTAAGCTATTGAAAGCGTGTAAGTTTGCCCGTGGGGGCGATCAAAACAAGAAAGCGTACAAAATATGCATGTTCTGGTGCATGTGCACCGTTTGAATGCACGAAAGCAGGGCACGCGCCCAAGGGTGCCTTTGCGTTTGTGTGTTCGGGTGTATGTGTGTGTGTGTGTGTGTGTGTGTGTGTGTGTGTGTGTGTGTGTGTGTGTGTCTGTGTGTGTGTGTGTCTGTGTGTGGGCGTGTGTGTGTGGGCGTGTGTTTGTGTAGTGTGTGTGTGTGTGTGTGTGTGTGTGTATGGTGTGTGTTTGTTTGTTTGTATGTGTTTGTTTGTGTGTGTGTGTTTGTTTGTATGTGCATGAGAATCATTGTGTGTACGTTTGGTTTTGTCAGTTGGATTTTTGTTTGTTTTCATGTGTATTGGTTTTATGTCGTGTTAGAGTTTCTCCTTCTTTAAAAGTGTCAGGTCTGGAGCAGACATTGACGATCATGGTACCCCACCCTTTCCTGTTGTCTGTCTTCCTGATAGGCTCTTTTTTTTCTCTTTTTGCTCTTTTCCGCAAAGTTGCAAGGTTTTCATTTATAGACGAAGAATATTCAGGAAAAGGGAATGGGGCGGCTAATGTTGCATGCCATACGCATTATTATTGATTCGCCATTTTTCGCCATGTTTATAGAACTTATTACTATTTTATTATCATGTGTCTGGGCGTCCACAGTTCTGTTTGTAAAGCCTAAACATTACTCCCTATGCTGTGTGCTCTCTTTCAAGCGTGGTACTTGTTCTTTTTCTGTTTTTGTTTTTGTTTCTGATTTTTGGCTTTTTCTTTTGTTTTTTGCTTTTGTATTTGTTTGTTGTTGTTTAACCCCCCCCCCCCCCACACCTAATCAGCATTGTTGTCCGATTCATTTGTGTTTACTACTTCTCACATGTGAAGTGACAGATCATCAAAACAACGTATGGCATCATTAATTGATTGTGCAAATGTCGCAATTTATTCAGTTTAAAAAAAGAAACAACAAAAGTTAATCTGTCTGCTCTTCCTCTTACTATTTTCTAACAACAACATAAAGCTATTCTGACGAGAATACATTTTGTTCCGTGATCAACAACGTAGTGCATAGGACATTTTCGAAGTTCAATTTTTAAAATTGGTGGTATGTTGCAAGGATATTATATGGAAATGAGGAGGGAGGGGGTGGTGGCTGTTTTGTAACAAAAGACCGCAGACTGCATATCAATGTTTCTTCTTTGTTTTTGTTTTGTATTGTTTGTCTGTGTTTTTTTTAAAACAGTGTTCCAAAATAAGCATTGTAAAATGACCAGAGCCAGAATCTGTATCTTCACCAAGTTCAAGAGCAGATAACTCCCAACTCACCGGTAGAGAAGGTGGCGTCCCCTCTGACCACGCCCAGGCCCAGGGCCGGGATGTTGGCGCACCCCATGACGTCACCGGAGAACCTCTCCATCTTCCGGACCTCTTCTTCCGAGAACTTGTCTGGCAAAGCGGCTGGCCTGACCTCACCAACGAACAGGCACGTTGCCACCACAGCCACTAGCAGTACATACAGCGTGAATTTAGAATCCATTTTCGAAATTCGAGCTCTTCTCTTGCTGCGTCGCTCAGTGATGATCCTCGAACAAAAGTCTGGAAGCAGTGCCCCACAAAGGTGGTAAGTCGGTCCTTTCTTGTGGTCTGATCTGCTAGACGTGTCGTGCTAATCCTGAAATCCCGGGGCTTGTATCTGTGAACGACACAAAAACGGGGACATTATATAACTACAACGTCTAGATAAGAGCTTTGTCCAGTGCTTGCAGTTGTGGTGCACTTTCGTAGCGAAATGAAGGCACCGAGTTCTGAGCTGTTGCTTGTTACATGTAAGTTCTGTCTTAAAATTTTTAGTAGCTTTATAATAATAATAATAATAATAATAATAATAATAATAATAATAATAATAATAATAATAATAATAATAATAATAATAATAATAATAATGTATAATGATAATAATATCACTGACCATAAAATGCAAGAAGAATAATATTCTTACGCATTCAAAGTCACAATGGTAAGGAACGCCTATACATCCCTATGACTAATAGAAATCTAGATAACAGTGCATCCATGCTTAGCCACACTGTAATGCTGAAGAGAATAGAAAAATAGCTATCCTATTACAACCTTTTCTAAGTAGTTTGGTGGTACATTACCATAGGATTAATATTGCGACGTATTATAACGCTTGACTTAATTCTTTCTGAATCAGCCTAACCAACGTATTCCAATATATTCTGTGGTTGAGAAGAAAACGAAAGGAGGAAGGGTAAGGAAGGTGGGGTGAGTGGGGGGATTGGGAAGGGCAGATCCTCAGCTTAACTTGTCATAGCGCTGCAGTATTACTCTCCCACCCACCAACCCACCCACACATTATACAAGGCGTTCCATTCGTAACTACCGCACAACCTATAATTGAAAAGCACATCAGCGAATAGAGCAGACAGCACTTAATATACACAAAACAGTAACGAAACACCCAATGAATGACCTCACTGCCCTTCCCCATCCCCGTAACCAACAATAGTCAGTGAAGCTGCAACCACAACCACAACAAAAAACCGCAAAAATTCCCCCCCCCCCCCATCTCGTAATCCCCCCCCCCCCGACCCTCCACCCACCACCACCACCACCTGAAAGCTGACAACAATGCAAAAGTCATCTAATCTGAGTAATGAGCGTATCCCCTCAGAGCCGCCAAGTATCCCCTCAATCGCTATTACCGTTGAGCTGTCTCGCGTTTCACAGTCACACCCAGTTGGGCCGAGGCCGCTGTTAGGGAGTTGGCTTGCTGGTCTCGCTCAAACTAACCCCTGACCCTTCCGTGATGGGTAATTTCGTGAGGGGTATTAGTATACGCCTGTCGGACAAATCGCAGACAAAGTTGACTGTTTGCATCGCCCTGTTGATAACAATAGTCCCCGCTAGCAGCTGCAGCTTCTTCTTTCTTTTCGATTTGTTCGTGTGTTGTTTTGGTTTTGTTTGTTTTTCGACGTCAACAATGGCTATTTGTTGACTGGATTTAGGAATGCGCAACTGGTTTCCTGTGATGGGTCACAGCGGTTATTTCTAGGTTATTGTCCACTTCAAAATCGCATTAATTTCGACCGCACTTCGAAATTCCTTGCAAAACTCAGTATTACGTGGCTGTGAAAGTACAATATAAATGAAACGTAAAGGTTAGCTCTTGTATATAGTATTATATAATGTATCTTTTTGTATCAGTCTCTCCCTCTCCCACCACTCCACCCCCTTTTTTCTCTCTACGCCCCCCCCCCCTTCCCAACTGCGTCTTTTTCTTATTTCTACCCCTACCCCACTCTCTCTCTCTTTCTCTCTCTCTCTCTCTCTCTCTCTCTCTCTCTCTCTCTGTGTATCTCTCTCTCTTCTCTGTCTCTCTCTGTCTCTCTCTGTCTCTCGTTCTCTCTCCCTCTCTCTGTCTAACGCTCCCTCTCTCTCTCTCTCACACACTCTCTCTCTGTATCTCTTTCTTCTCTCTCTCTGTCTCTCTCTTCTCCCTCTCTGTCTCTCTCTGTCTCTCGTTCTCTCCCCCCCTCTCTCTCTCTCTCTCTCTCTCTCTCTCTCTCCCACCCTCCAAACCCGACAACTGCCTTCCCCAACCCTCTTCTTTTTTCGGACAACCTGTTCACCCGGATATCTGTGTAAAGTCACTTCTCTGTACTGAGCTGCGGTGCACCAACTAGGGGAATTTCCCCCAAGATTTGACCAATCATCTACCATTAGCATCATTACGTCACAAGAGCGGGACGAGTGATATCCCCTTTCGTGCACATGAACAAATCACCCTATTATGCTATTTCTCCTTCAGTTTGGAATTCAGATACCCATAATACTATCAGCATTATCTATTTCGTAAGCTCTCTCTCTTTCTCTCTCTCTCTCTCTCTCTCTCTCTCTCTCTCTCTGTCTCGCTCTCTCTCTCTCTCTCTCTCTCTCTCTCTCTCTCTCTCTCTCTCTCTCTCAGAGACGGACGTTAAACTAGGAGCCCCGCCTCTTAAATAACCTACTAGTGTTAGGGGCGTTAAACCCATACCATTTCACCATTTCTCTCTTTCTCCCCCTCTCTCTCTCTCTCTCTCTTTCTCTCTCTCTCTCTCTATCTCTCTATCTCTCTCTCTCTCTCTCTATCTCTATATCTCTCTCTCTCTCCTTCCCTCCCCCTCTCTCTCTTATGGGTGTGCATAATTTGTTTGCCTGTATATGTACAGGCTGATCATGTACGAAGAAGAAAAATGATAAAAACAGTAATTTGAGTTTGGTAAAACTTTTACGGTGCTCGTAGATATATATACATAATAAGGTCATAGGAGCAGGCAAGCGGTCATTTATCACCACAGGATAATGTAGATAATTTAGTAGGCGAGGTGCCTGGACCAAGCTAGCCAAGGCCAACTCCTGCATAATGGGTTACAGCATTCCAACAGGCAGTCGGATATACTCCAGGAATTGAACTTACGCCCACCGCTTTCAAAAGCGAAGTGTTATAACCATTACACTTATGTTGGAAGATCGGCAACCCCCAAAACTCCATTTTTCAGGCCTTAACCAGCTCTATGGCAAACTGCATATCTGTGATAGGGAGGGAGAGGCTGAGGGTGGAGAAAGATCGACATCTATCTTCTTAGCAGGGTCATGTACCACACAACGCACTGATACGTATAGCTTCTTCAGGGTTTGGACAGAGCGAAAACTTTAGTTTTAGTCAGGGTTTTTAAGGTATTTGCAACACCAATAGGCCATCATACAAGTGTCGAAGATTAGCGGAGTGTTTGGTTTTTTAAAGTTTGAGTAAGAGTTTTAAGGCACTCGCAACACAAGTGCGTTATGATCAAAGTGTCGAACATTCGAGGAGTTCCAAGAGAGTAACGAACAAAGAAAAACATGAGGACAGATGATACGGACGATAGAAGCTTGATAGTGAAAAAGAAGCAAATCACATCAGAGCACCCGCCAACCACCCACAAAAGGAAAGCATTCCCGGACAAAAAGGCGACAGCTATACTTCCGTATGAAGCACATTCCCTTGTATGATGTCAGGACAAAACACGTTGACGTATGACAGCCGCCTTTGTGTCTGGTACAAGGGTAACAACACTGGGCTGGAGACTAGTAGAGGTAGGACCAGGTCGATACATTTTTCCCAGTAACCGTCACCGCCATCTGCAGTGTGATAGTAGCCAGGCCCCTCTCTGTTTTACGCGGGAAATGTGAATTCGATTAGAGACATTCGATTCTCGCGGGTGGAAGCATATCTTATCAATTGATATCTCCGTCTTTCTGCAGGGATGCTGTATCCCGTCAAACCAGGGTTGGCCTTGACAGACAGGCACAAGGCCACAAGGCAACATGTCCCTTACATAGTTTTGACAGAGACGTAAGAATTACAATTCATTACGATTCCAGCCTGTCTGGAAAGGGATGAATATACGTAATACAGTGGGAAATTGGGGGGGGGGGGTACAAAATGAGGTATAGAGTAAGTACAGGTATAAAATCATTGTTATAATACTTAGCCCTTAACAGTTAATAGCATATTGATATGATTTGGTGAGAATGCGTGGCAAAGGGTAGTGGAGTGGCATTCCATACCTTCGTCAGCCTTCACACATGAACAGATAAAGTGAAAACAAGTAAGTTTTCACATCAACTCAGATGCAGATAATGCAGCCGGGTGTCTTTTGTTTAAATAAAGAACAAAAACAAAAACAAACACACACAGCATAATTAACCGGAGACTTTTGAGAGACAACTTGTATAACTCAGCATTCAATAGTGAGCTATCACTTGTAAATACAATGTATTCGATATCACAACATTCCATCATTGTTTTATTTTTAAGATCTCTCTGTCGTTAGCGGTAACGCAGAGTGGTCCTATACATTGTCATGATGTCACCAGAGCGCCTCTTTTGTTGCGGTAAGCTTCTTGTATGAAAAATTGATCACCACATGCGGGATCACGTGGGCGGGGCCTCCCCTTTTCCCCCCTATCTTCATTCACATACACTCTTATATAACAACCACCCCTTATCTCCCATTTTTGAAAGGGGAAAGGGGTGGGGGTGGGGGTAGTCTTTGTCAGTTATCGAGTATTGATTTTAAAAAAGTGAAACCCGAAGGTTTACTTGCTCTTGCCTGATGAAATCCTCAAAGACAACCAAGTAGCTATCTTTTAAGGCCACAATATACTGGGGGGGGGGGGGGGGGGTTCTTTGAATTCTACTCCTGGCTTATCTTTTTGCTTCACGGTGTACGTTTTTAATACAGATACAACCTTAAGTTAGTGGTCCTATAGAAAGTAGGGGTGGGGGAGGAGGGGGTGATTTAGTTCTATCCATAATCGTCTCAAGTCTCTCAACGAAAACAGGGAGAGGGCTATTAACTGAGAAACATTCAGTCCCATAACAGGTGGGAAACGTTATAATAACGAGGTGAGGAATACAATATATTCCACAATTTTGTAAACCGACAGTGCAATTTCAACGTGGAAATATAACGTAGTCTAAGCCGTTTCCTTGCCTTGTCTAAACGGGATTATTCATTAGTCATTTCTTTTCCTCATCTGCTTTTGATTATCGAATGTGAAAACTGCAGACCTCGCGAAACGTTCGCTGTACCTTCCACCCGTTTTCTATTTCCGAGGGCAACAAAGACCCAAAATGAGCGAAGA